TTTCGTGTTGTCCTTGTCTGGTTTTGGTATCAGGGTAACATTGGCCTCTTAGGATGAGTTAGGAAGTGTCCTGTCCTCTTCAATTTTTGGAAGAGTTTGAGAAGGGGAGGTATTAAGTCTTCTTTGAATGTTTTGTGGAATTCACCAGGGAATCCATCCGGTCCTGGACTTTTCTTTTTGATTACTCTTTTGACCTCCTTACTAATGATTTATCTATTCAGATTTTCTAATTTTTCTTGATTCAGTTCTGGAAGGTTGTATAAGTCTAAGATTTATCTGTTTCTTCTAGATTATCCAATTTGTTGCCATATAGCTTTTCATAATATTCTCTGATAATCCTTTGTATTTCTGTGGTGTCTGTTGTAATTTCTCCTCTTTTGTGTCTGATTTTATTTATTTGAGCCTCTCTCTTTTTTCTTGGTAAGTCTAGCTAAAAGTTTGTCAATTTTGTGTATCTTTTCAAAGACCTGGCTCTTAGTTTCACTGATATTTTTCTGCTGTTTTTTCATCTCCATTTCATTTATTTCCACTCTGATTCTTATTATTCCCTTCCTTCTTCTGATTTGGAGCTTCATTTGTTCTTCTTTTTCTAGTTCCTTTAGGTGTGTTGTTAGATTGTTTATTTGAGCTTTTTTCTTTTCTTAAGGTGATCCTGTATTGCTATAAGCTTCCCTCTTAGTAACACTTTTGCTGTGTATACTAATCCCCTAAATTTTGGTATGTCATATTTTCTATTGCCTTCAGAGATTTTTTTATTTTTCCTTTGATTTCTTTGTTAGCCCAACAGTTCTTCAGTAGCATTTTGTTTACTCGCCACATATTTATAGCTTTTCCAGTTTTCTTCTTGTAGTTGATTTCTGGTTTCATACTGTTGTGGTCAAAAAGATGCTTAGTATTATTTCAGTCTTCTTAAATTTATTGAGACTTGTTTTGTGGCCTAATATGTGATCCCTCCTGGAGAATGTTCCATGTGCATGTGAAAAGAATGTGTATTCTGGGGTTTTTGGGTGGAATTTTATGAATACATCTACTAAGTCCATCTGGTCTAATATGTCATTTAAGGCCAGTGTTTCCTTATTGATCTTCTGTCTGGATGATCTATCCATTGAGATAAGTGGAGTGTTAAAGTGCTCTGCTACTATTGTGTTACTGTCAGTTTCTCCTTTTATGTCTGTTAATGATTGCTTTATGTATTTAGTTACTCCTATGTTGGGCACATAGATATTTACAAGTTTTATGTTCTCTTGTTAGATTGTTCCCTTTATTTTTATGTAATGCCCTTCTTTATCTCTTGTTACAGTTTTTGTTTTAAAGTCTATTTGTCTGATAAAAGTATTGCTACCCTAGCTTTCTTTTCTTTTCCATTTGCATGAAGTGTCTTTTTCCATCCCTTCTCTTTCAGTTTATGAGTGTCTTTAGATCTGAAGTATGTCTCTTGTAAGCAAGAATATATGGGTCTTGTTTTTTTTTTTTTTTAATCCATTCAGCCACTCTGTGTCTTTTAATTGGAACATTTAGTCCATTGACATTTAAAGTAGCTATTGATAAATATGTACTTATTACCATTTTGTTACTTTTTTTCTGGGTGTTTTAGTACTTCCTCTCTGTTCCTTTCTTCTTCTCCTGCTCTCTTCCCTTGTGGTTTGATGGCTTTTTTATTGTTATGTATGGGTTCCTTTCTCTTTATTTTTTGTATATTTATTATAGATTTTTGGTTTGTGATTACCATGAGGTTCATATATGATAACCTGTGTAAATACCAATCTATATTAAGTTGACGGTCTCTTAAGTTTGGTCTTCTGCTAAAAGCCCTACACTTTTACTTCCCTCTCTTACATTTTGTGTTTTCGATATCATATTTTACCTCTTTTATTTTTGTGTGTCTCTTAACCTCTTACCATGGAATTAGATAATTTTAATATTTTTGTCTTTTGACCTTCATACTAGCTTTATAGGTGGTTGATCCACTACTTTTACTGTATATTTGCCTTTACAGATGATATTTTTTCTTGGATAATTTTCTTATTCCTATTTGTGGTCTTTTCTTTTCCACTTAGATAAGTCCCTTTAACATTTCTTGTAAGGCTGGTTTAGTGGTACTCCTTTAGTTTTTGCTTGTCTGGAAAACTCTTATGTCCCCTTCCATTCTGAATGATTATCTTGCCAGGTAGAGTATTCTTGGCTGTAGATATTTTTCCTCTCAGCATTTTGAAGATATCATGGCACTCACTTCTAGCCTGTAAGGTTTCTGCTGAGAAGTCAGCTGATAGCCTTATGGGGTTTCCTTCGTATGTAACTTGTTGCTTTTCTCTAGCAGCTTTTATGATTCTCTCTTTATCTTTAATTCTTGACATTTTAATTATCATGTTTCTTGGTGTGGACTTCTTTGGGTTCCTCTTGTTTGGTGCTCTCTATGCTTCCTGTAGCTGTATGTCTGCTTCCTTCTTCAGGCTGGGGAAGTTCTCAGCTATTATTTCTTCAAGTAAGTCCTCTGCCCCTTTGTCTCTCTTCTCCTTTTGGGACACTTATAATGTGGATGTTAGTATGCTTGATGTTGTCCCAGAGGTCCCTTAGACTGTCATCATTCTTTTAAATTATTTTTTCTTTTTTTGTTCATCTTGAGTAATGTCCTCTTCTCTTGCATCCAGATAGCTGATCCATTCTTCTGTGTCATCTACTCTGCTGTTGATTCCCTGTATGAGTTTTTCATTTCCATTATAGTATTCTTCAATTCTGATTTGTTCTTTTTTAGATTTTCCACTTCTTTGTTGAAGTTCTCAATTTGTGCATCTATTCTTCTCCCAAGATCAGTGAGCATCCTTATAACTATTGGTGTATACTGTTTATCAGGTAGATTGTTTATTCGTGTTTCCTTTCGTTCTTTTCCTGAGGATTTGTCCTATTCCCTTATTTGGAACGTATTCCTTTTTTTTTTCCTTAACGATATGCTTTTTTTGGTGAGGAAGATTGGCCCTGAGGTAACATCAGTTGACAATCTTCCTCTTTTTTTCCTTTTTTTTTCTTTTTTCCCCAAAGCCCCAGTAAATAGTTGTATATCCTAGTTGTAAGTCATTCTAATTCTTCCATGTGGAATGCCTCCACAGCATGGCTTGATTAGCAGTGCATAGGTCTGTGCCCAGGATCTGAACTAGTGAACCCTGGGCCACCAAAGCAGAGCAGATGAACTTAATCACTCAGCTACAGGGCTGGCCCCTGGAACATATTCCTTTGTCTCCTCATTTTGCCTACTTCTCTGTGCTTATATCTATGTATTTGGTAGATTAGCTATGTCTCCCAATCTTGGAAATGTGGCCTCAAGTAAGAGATGCGTCATGGGGCCCAGCAATGTGCTCCCCCTCATCGCCCATGCCAAATGTTCAAGAAGCGTCCCCCACATGGGCTGCATGTGCCCTTTGGTTGTGGCAGGGTTGCTGTTGCTATGGGTGCAAAGGTAGGCTGGGCTGGCCCCAAGCCCAGCTGGTTGTAAGGCTCAGCAATGTGGGACTGCTGCAGTCACTTTATTGGGCAAGACAAGCCCTGCCACAGCTGGCTGCAAGATATAATAGCACACAACTACTGCTGTTTTGCTGTTAAGTGAGTCAGGCCCCCAGTGTGGCCCGTTGCTAGACTCAGGGGCTCACAATTGCTACAGGCCTCTGGTGCCGCTCCCTCCAATGTGCAGCTGTCGTCAGCTCTCTTTTGGCTGGCCAGGCCTCTCCCCAGATCTGCCTGTGCTGCCGTGCAGTACACAGCTGCCTCAGGAGTGCAGACGGTGGAGCCCGCCCCAGGTGTGGCAGTGCACGATTGTTTCAGGTGCTGGAAGGAGAGGCAGATCCCCTTTGTGGCTGTTTGTGATGGCCAGTGGCACAAGTCTGCCATGGGCCCACATGTCCTTCTGCCCGTGGGCCCAGACACCTGAGGGGCCTGCATGCATGCCTCACTGATTCGGACCTACTTTCCCCACTGCAGAGGGCCCACAGGCCCCGCCTCTACAGGCCCACAGGTTCACAGTGGTGGGGCCAGTCTGTGGGGCGACCGCTGCCCTGGCTCTGCTTGACTGCCTCAGGTCCTCTAGAGGGCGGGGCAGACCCTTCCCTGCAGTAACAGGCTAGAGGAAGGAATTCAATGGTGGCTGCCAGCCTCTGTGTCAGCACGACTGAGACTGAACTATATCCTAATAGTATCTGCCACCAGTGTCTCAGTCCCTGCAGGGGTGGGCCCAGCCGCCTCCTGCCTCTCCAAGATGTGCCCTGAGCTTAGTAAGTGAGTCTCTTACCAATGGACTACGCACTTTTCTATCTGGTGTTTCTGTGCTGGTTTCCAGATGGGGTGGATCTGTGCGTGCGCTCCTTAAGGGCAAGTTTTTCTTTCTCTGAAGTTCTGTAGTTTTCCTGGGTGTATTCCCCATTGGTTTTCAAAGGGAACAAAGCCAGGTATTATGGGATCTCGTCTTGGTCGTGCTGAATCTAAGGGCCGGGATGCCTACTGTGGAGCTCAGATCCCCCCCTCCTCCTGGGAAAGCTCCGTACCCCTGAGATTGTCCCCAGCCTTGAAGCTCTGTGGCTGGGGTGTGGCTTTTTCCCCTCAGCAGCGGGGCTGTATTTCTGCCTCTTCCTCCCCTGTCAGTGTTGTCCCTTGTTGTGGGAGTTTGTTTTATCCACTCTACACATCTCTCTCGGAGGAAACTGTTCCACAGGTAGTTATAGATTGTAGTGTCTGTGGCAAGAGATGAGTCCAGGATCCTCCTACTCCACCACCTTCCAAGCTCCTCTGACTCAGCATTTAAAAGGATAGAGCCAGGTGGGTTCAAGATGGTGACATAAAAAGATAGAGCCAGAACTTGCATCCAGGAGTACTACCATTCTTCTCTACTTGGCCCAATGATTTGACTTTCCTAGAACATAGGTGAGGCCAGAGAAGGAATCTCAGTGCTGTGGATATTTACAGCCAATGGGACCTGATCCCCTCCGTGTCTGAACCTTGCTTTTCTCTGTTTTCAGGTCAGGATCGCAGCGAAGCCACTTTGATAAAGAGGTTTAAAGGTGACGGGGTCCGGTACAAGGCCAAGCTGATCGGGATAGACGAGGTTTCTGCCGCTCGGGGAGACAAGTTATGTCAAGATTCCATGATGAAACTCAAGGTGCTGTGCAAACATTTTATTTTAAATGTCACGGGTTTAATATGACTGAGAAAAAAAGTGACTACAATCATTATGATCAAAAAATTTTATTTATTTGTGTATTGGTAAATGATTTGGTTCACTGATGAATCCATGCATTTGTTCATTGGGAAGAGATTTCCATCATTCAGCAAATGTTTATTGAGTGCCTACCATGTGGAGGTGTTTTGTTAGTCCCTGTTTTATAGTTTTTGAGTATATCACATTTTATTCAATTTTACCTTCATTGTCCAATGCTTGCAAAAATAAAAGTACAAAATCATCAAACTGCATAGTCTCTTAGATTTTATGAATTTTCACTACTTTGTTATTTTAAAATAAATTTTGTATATTTTACCATATGATAAATATGGCAAAAGATACTATATTAAGATAAAAGTTGATTTTATTAATTCTTATAATTTCTACTAATGTCTGTCAAATACTTTATAATAAAGGGAAAATATTTTTTAAAGTGATATGTAACTAAATATTGAGATTTGGAGATATCACAAAGAGGTTTCTGATTTTTTTTTTTTAAAGATTGGCACCTGAGCTAACAACTGTTGCCAATCTTTTTTTTTTTTTCTGCTTTTTCTCCCCAAGTGCCCCTAGTACACAGTTGTATATTTCAGTTGTGAGTCCTTCTGGTTGTGGCATGTGGGACGCCACCTCAGCGTGGCCTGACTAGTGGTGCCATGTCGGCGCCCAGGATCTGAACCAGCAAAACCCTGGGCCGCCTGCAGCGGAGCGTGTGAACTTAACCACTCGGCCGTGGGGCCGGCCCCAGAGGCTTCTGATTTTAAATGCTTTAAAGAAGGCTTTTCATTGAGAAAGCTAAGAAAGAAATTGGAAAAATTTTAAATATACAAAATAAGAAAATTAAATATACAAAATAAGAAAATTGTTAAATGGCCTTTAAAAACATACAAAAAAGAAGATTGTTTGTCCCCAGATTCTGGTCTCCATATAGTCTGTTTCTTTTTGTAAAAAGGTATGTAAATTATTGGGAAAGAATCAAGAAATAGCAAGAAGTCTACAAAATATCTTATGCATTTAAATCATATATTTATTTTCCTGATTATAGGATTCACAAGATGTTCATTGTAAAATATTTTGAAAATATAGAAAAGTATGAGGAGCAAAATTGAAGTCGTCCACAATCCCATTGCACAAAGAAAATCACTGTCAGTGTTTTTGTGTGTAACTTATAGTCTCTCTTTATATTTTTATGTACATTATATGAATTATATACATATATGTAATATAATTAGAATTACTATTTATGCAGTTTTATCCTATTTTTCTCCTCATCTAATAGTATAAGCATTTTTTTCATATCTCCGAAGAGTCCCTGAGGACAGAACTTGGTCAGTGTAACTTTTTTGAATGTAAGAAAAAAAAAGGAAAAGGAAAAAACAAGGCTGGCCAAGTGCCTAAAAGTATTAGGGGGACAATGTCTGTAAAACCCCTCTACACTACCTTTTCTTTCATACATGTTTAATAAATCGCAAGGATTATTTTTTTTTACTATGCGAATTTTCTTAGCAGTTTAACATGCATATCAGATGCTGTCTGCCCATAGTATGGCTGTAGCAATCATCACTTTAAAAAACTCTTATTTTCTAATCTGTGTATCCATTCCTTTCTTTTTCTTTTTTTAGCTGTTACATAAGCAAACTTCATTTTAATAGTTATGTATCTATTATAAGGTGTATTGGAAAAAGGAGTAAAAGACATCAAAGTCATGATTTCATAGATTTTAACCTTGGAAGAGGTTACTGTATGCTTTTTTTTTTTAATAATTAAGCAATTTATGAGATTTTAGGGCAGTCCAATAGTGAGCCCTCTTTTTCCTCCAAGTTCAAATCTGATTGATAAATAGACAAAGGAGTCTGCCAGGAAGAATTCTGAATTCCATCTTTATGACTCATAAATGCTGTAATAGAGGATGTGATGAGATACAGAGCCACAGTGAGCATCCTTGAAAGAGAAAGGCTATTCCAGTTGGTTCATCGGGGAGTTGGATAACTGCAGCCCTCTGTGGTCCCCCGGCCCCTGCCCTGTCCCAGAGCAGGACCTGTGACTCATGCATGAGGTCAGAGCAGAATGCCTCCTCTCTTCTCCACCAGCGGGCCGATTGCAGACAGAGAACCCAGAAGAGACTGAGCCTCGCATGCTCAGCTTCTCTCCCAACTGCCCAGTCAGGCAGAGCCAGGCCTACCTCCCCAAAGACACCGTAGTTGAGGATGCGGATTAAGGCAAGGATTGATTCTTGCTGAAGCCATGCAAATGGATATTTGCTCCTGACAAATATTAAGTAAAAGACATTAAGGAAATCTCCATGACCTGGTTCTCACCCAGAGCCACAGGTCTGCTGAGGAGGAGAAAAGAGCTGATGCATCTCCCCCAAGCATCCTGGCAGATAGCCATTCACCAGGCGTCTGTCACGGAGCAGGTCATTGGTTGCTGCCTTCATGGAAGCGCTGATGTCTAAGTGGGTATGAGGCCGGAGACAGCCTGTGCTTCCTGAGGGTTCTCCCTCACGATTAATGTTGGGCCAAGCTAGCTGGACTAGGCCTGGTGATGCCTGTTGACCTTGTGTGCGTGTGTGTTACCTGCGTGAAGCACTCCATCTGTCACCCCTCATAACCATGAGGTCCCCAAAGCCCTAAGAGTTTGTCCTACAATAACACACTCCTGTCAGATGTGCTGAACTTGTTGAGAGGTTCTTGGTTCCCAGACAATTGTGTTTCATTATTTGCAAGTTGCTGAGAAGAATGTTGACATTTCAGTTCCCAGTGGTTTTTCTTTAGGAAACACAGAAACATAAATGATCGATTCTCCATTTGGCCACCTGCCCGGGAAAGGAAGACAGAGAGAAGTACAAAATGCCTCTTAGCCTTGCAGAAAGGCCTGCTTGTTCATGTTAGGCCATATGAGAAATAAAAAAATTCTGTTTTGCTTTGTTAGACTCTCTGAAACTGATGCTGGTGCTTTTTCCTGTTTTGGAGAGTTTTCTCTTGGAATATGGAGGGTTGAGAGGAGATTCATACTGTGAGCGTGAGCGGGCCATGGCCTGTCCACCAGCAAAGCATCCTCGTTGTCACACTTTGAGTTAGAGTCAGCAAAGCGCTTTCATGTATATTATCTCTTCTGATCTTGTGAGATAGATGTTAGCCGCCCTGTTTTCTGAATAAGGAGCCTGAAGTTCTAGAGATTGAAGGATTTACCCCAGAACCTTCATTTAATCTGTGATGAGTCCAGAACTCAAACTTAGATCTCCAGATGCCAAGTGTTTGATAAGAAATAGTTTAGTGCTTAATTATATTCTGTTTTGTATCTGCATTTAATTTATCTTGGTTCCTGTACTAGATTTTAAGCCCCTACCAGTAAGCTACCACCCTATAGCCACTATTCATTGACTTCCAAAGTAGTCAGCTTTCAGAGACATTGGGCAAAATGGTGGTGGCTGAAGCTATGGGAGAGGGTCCGATCTCCCAAAGACAGTGCTTGGAGGGCTAATGACAGAGCCCTAAATCTGTCAGTCAGGGTCCTATAAGAAACATCTGGCTAGTCAAATGAGGACATTTTGATGAAGGAGCTACTTACAAAGAGTAGACAAGGTTAAGGTAGCAGACAAGAGCTGGTGAGGTACCCAGAAACTAGCAACAGTGGGCAGCTTGTACCACCCTGGGGAGAAGAGATTTACTGGAACCCAGGAGAGGGAGATGGAGGAGGAAGTCACCTCCCTCACCAAGCAAAAATATAGCTACTGCCAGGGATGTACTAGGATGAAGGCTGAGAAAGAAGTGGGAAGAAATACCCCGACCTTTCTGTCCTTTTACCCTCTGATCTCCTGCCAGTGTCTTGCATTGGTGGAATCCAACTAGAAGCCAGAGGGCAGGAAGCTCAGAAGACCAGAGAATGCAGTCCACAGGGGCCCATCTCTGGGCACGCAGCAGGGCAGAGAAAGATATTAGTATTCCTCTTTTTAACTGGGAAAAGGGAAACTTAAGATGAGTTTTTTCTTTTTTTCCCAAAGATCCTACAGCTGGTAACTAGTAGGGCTGGGATTGGAGACTGGGTTTAGTTCATGGAGCTTTCTGGAATAGCGTTCTAGGTTTTTAGCCATTCATGCCTGAAGCCTGTCGTGTTGACACGTGTGCTTTGCCTGTTCCATGTCCCTGTCTCGGTCATCCCATCATGTGCGTGCACCATGCTGGTGAGGTTTCTTAAGGCCCTTTCCTGGAAAGGCCTTATCTGATTCTCACAGCAACCCCTGAGCTGGACAGGGCAGCCTGTCAGTCCTGCCTGACACCCCTGACCCCGTCTGTGTCTCAGTTCCTCCATCAAGACACTGCCTCTGTGTGCTGTGCCTTCCTTAGAGATGCCTGTGTCAATCATTTCACAGAATGCCTAGCATGTGGTGTTGCTTAATAATACCAATATGACTGCTAGTAATAATGGCCACTGTTATTTATTGAGCTCCCCCTGCAAGCTGCATACAGTGCCAAGTGCAGTATGTGCACGGTTCCTTTAAATGGCCCAACACTCTTATAAGGTAAGGAATATGATTACTCCCATTTTAGAGTTCCTCTTCACTCCTGAGTCTGGGAGCTGGTAGTTCCACCTAGCTATTTTCAGAACATTTTTGACATATCTGTAGTATATTATGTAGTCGGGTTTTTTTTATCTATGCTTCCCAAAAAGGCTGTTAGAGATCATTACAGCAGAAGGAACCGCAGTATTGGAATCTGAAAGATCACTGCTGAATTCCCGCTCTGTCTTATTAGTTCCTTGAGGTGTGGGCAGGTCACTTGACTCCTGACCTTGTTTCCTCATATGCAGAGTAAGAGAGAGAGAATTCTTACTCCCCGGGGTTGCGGTATGGGCTAAATTCTAGGACATCCAAGAGAGCTTCTAGCATGTAGTAGGTATCCCAGAAATGTTTGACTCTCTAATTCCCAGGTTTCCCACAGTGACTTACTAGGTGAGATGGCTAATATTAGGCACAGAGCTCCACATGACGCCTACGTCCACATCATCCACCTCCCCAAGCAGAGCTGTCTCCTGGACTTCGTTAGTTCTGCGTGACAGCCATGAATAATCCTGTGGGGAGAGGAGACCCTGAGCCGTGCTGTCCGGTGGCAGGCTTGCTTGGACTTAGTGCAGTTTCTCAGAGCTGGACTCAGGGTCCTGTCTCACAGGAGAAATGTGCTTGATAAAATTTGAGTTTTATTTCCCTGAAGATAGCACCATGTGAATAGTCCTTCTCTCTTTCATTTGTCAAGCTACCATTAGCAGCCCCAAGCAGAAATGCTCCTGGAACCTGCATGTTTCTCTTTCCATCCTCTGTTATATGTAGCCGTACTCTCCCAGGGAGCTCTTTGATGGCTACCCGGAACCAGGAAGCAAGGGGGGGCATTATCTAGCCAGCACTACTATGTGCCAGGAATTATTGCTGTCGGATGTTGCAGTAGTTCTAAGAGCCAGAGGCTGTTAGGACCGTTTCGGAGATGGAGACGTTGAAGCTAGTCTTCCTGACCAAAGGTGCCACCCTTTCCCCTCCATGTTCTGTGATGTTCTCACCCAGGAAACAAGGAGGAGGGCAATTCTCCCCTGTGACACAGTCCTTCCAATCCTTCTGTTTGTGATGGGGCTACTTCTTCTTCTCTCTTTTCTGTGTGTCTGGATGCCTGCGGCTGGAGGTTAGGGTGTGGAGGGATGGCAGCATAAATTACTTTACTCTTACTCCAGCCGAGAACACAGATTTCAAAGTCAAATTGTCCTAGGTCCGAAGTCTGGCTTGTCCACTATCGGGTGAAGGAAAGTCAGTTCACCTTTCTGCATGCCTGCTTTATGCCCAGCCCTGTTCTGGGCACCGGGCACATAGAGCAAATAAAACAAAGTCCCATGCGTGATTGAGCTTTCGTTCTACTGGGCAAAGGCAGACAGTCAACAAATGCATATATAACACGTCAGATGGTGGTCAGCGCCACGAGGAGAAACAAAGCAGGGAGAAAGGATGGATTGCAGTTCAGCATGGAGGGTGTGGTACCTTGGCTTAAGGGATCAGAGGAGGTGGGTGATAGGGTGGCATTGAACAGAAATAGCAATTACCCCTGGGATTGCAAAGACATACATTGCCCATTCCCCCATCTCATTAAAAACATCCCACAGTGCATCGATGGGAAAGCAGGCAGCACAATGGAATCTGGAAGGCTTTGAATGGGGGGAGGAAGGTAAAGAGACAGAAGACTCAGCTTTGGAGGGGAGTCACTCTCTTTAACTCTTCAGAGGGTGGTCATTGGAGGAGGTGTCTTATGTCAATGTATGGCAGCCCTGAGGAGCTGAAAGCTAGTGCCCTCTGGGTCGGGTTACAGTGAGAGACTCGGCCAGCCAGGAGGAGGACACAGTGGGCAGGACAAGACCTGCTCCTGCACCAGGAGTCTAGCGGGCGGAGTTGTAGTCTCAGCTTTTTACCAACCCTCTGCACCACCTCGAGACTGTCCTCCCAGCCTTCTGGGCATCATTTTTCTCATCTGTCAGTTGGGAAATTTGGACTGATTAGTTTAGTTTTAAGGTTTTCTCTGCCTCTAACATTCCGTAAGTCTGTGAGTGTGTGGGAGATGCTTGAGAATGAATGGGCGCCTCATGAGGGAGTGAATTTCCTACTAGGATGTAGCCACACAGGAACTGGACCACAGGCTTTAAGGCACAATCATTCACGTACTAGAAGAAATGAATTTTTATTCCATCCTTACAGTGTACCAAGCATTGTGCTCGGTACTTAACACAGATTTTCATTGAATTCTCTCAAGCATGCAAGAAAGGTACTTACACTTGAGGAAGTGGAATGGAGAGATTTAGTAATTTGTCCAAGATCACAGAGAGCCAGGAGTATAATCCTGATGTTCTGATTCCACAGAAAATTTCCAATACCCAAAGGGAGGGTAGTCCAACGGCCTCCAGAGAATGCCCCTTCCTTCTGCCTTCTGGTCACACCCATTGCTGTCTAACAATGCGGTCATTCTCTGAGACTGACGTACAGCACGTGCTGTTCTGAGAACAGCACAAACTGCTTTTATCTCCTGGAAATATGAAATCATTATTATTTTAGACCGTTCTGCTCCTAAAAGCCCAGAGCCATAACTGCAGAGAGTTGGGCTTCATCTTGACGTCTCTGGAGGCTCGCAGTGATGAAGGGCTGAGCCCTGAAATGCCTAATGCAGAGTCAGCAAGAGCCCTGGAGTGTGAATCGCTGACATGGCCTTACCCTCTGAGCGGTACCCTAACACGAAGCCCATGCTTACCTGTAATGGGCTGCCCCAGAGGCTAATTTAAAAAGCAAGTGTCTTTACTCTTCACTTAATCATATCAACTTTGGGGACTCTGGATGGCATAGCCATATAGCAATAATTTACTGAGTTCCCTCTGCCCTCCAGGGACTGTCCTGGGCCCTAGGGACCAAGCACTGATCAGAGTAACATCCTCACCTTTTGTGACATTGACCTTTTAATTGACTCATATATATATCTTAAGTTTATAAAAAGTTTGGAAAAGTGGGGAAACAAAGTCCTGATAAGTGGAAAGCGTTTGGTAGGTACTTTCCTCAAGAGGACAGGAATGATAGGGAAAAGAGTAGGGGAAAATACAAATGTCTGTGGGTGAAAATTCCAAACCATAGGCATATAACTATGACAATCATATTTTTCCAAACAAAATTGAGGCATGCAGTTTGGCACTAATTTTATTTTCTGTCTAATCTCTAAAATTGATTCATATGAAAACTTTTTCCAGAAATATAAAAATAAAATCAGATTTAGGAATATATTCAGTGGTGTACCCTTATTGAATAGATTAAAATCATATCTAATACAAAACCCAGCACAGATATTAGTAAAAGAGCCATATTGTGTTTATCTGGAGATCACCAATTCTGAACCAAATTTCTAGGCACAAAGGTGTTCTATAAATCTTGGCTAGTCAAATGAATTGATGTTCACATACCTATTTATACAACGTTAGAACAGCTAGGATATGTATTACTCTACATCAAGAAGACGCAAGCACATCTGGTAGGGAAGCATGGAACGGGTGAAGGGAAAGGAGTGTGCACGATTGGTGGCATTGGTTGATGGTATCTGACATGCCTTTGGGACCACAGGGAATTTTCAAATGAAAACACTAAAGTAAAAACCATGTCCTTCCTTTCAACAGGGCGTTGTTGCTGGCGCTCGTTCCAAAGGAGAACACAAACAGAAAATCTTTTTAACCATCTCCTTTGGAGGAATCAAAATCTTTGATGAGAAGACAGGGGTAAGTAAAAGAGCCACATGGCATTGTGAAATTGAATCCATTGACAGATGTGCCCTTAAAAGCCTCTACTCTCTGGGCAGGAATATCAAACAAGCATAAAAACACATAAAGCAACTGACAAACTTGATCAGCTATGACCGTCCATCAAAGGGAGGCTCTTCCCTGACTTGGCCGCAGTGTGACTGCACCGTGTTTCTTATAGTGTAATTGTGATAAAAGTGTCACGTAGTTCTGGTAATCTAATGGGAGATTGATGAGCTTTGAAGAGCAGTGGGTAATGTGACTGTTTAAGTTAAATTTCTTTGTGTGCTGGCAACTTTAATGACATCTGTCCTAGAGGGAGACACATGGAGGTCTTTTGACTCGGTCAAAGCATCCAGACTCTCTTAAGTTGAACTTGCGGCACCTTGCGACTGCTGTAATCAAAAAGAATAAATGGAATTTTCTATCTCGGAAATATCTGTTGCTGCCTGACCAGGAAATGTAAGGGCTGATATGTTTGCTGAACCCACCAAAGAAGTGATTTGTGTTTTCATCAACCTCCCAGCGGCAATTAGCTCCTAGATTTATCCCCAGGGCTTGCCTGACATTGTCGGTCCTGTTCATTGAAGGTAAAGGAAAAACAGGAAAACATTCTATGATCTGTTTCGTCAAGAGAGTGAGAGTCAGATGGACATGTTTTTCCTTTTATTTATTCAGTGCTTTACAGCTTATAAAACACCTCCACATATATCACCTCCTTTGAAGTTCACAAGATAATTTATCAACCACTATATAAATAATACTCAGTTAGCCAAGTTACTTAACATTAGATGTTTTGCATTATTGTTTTCTCCTCTTTGTTTGACTCATATTAGAACACCATATGGGTAGTAGGATGATAATTTAACAGTAAAAATGGGTTTTCTTGAAGAAAAGTTACTCCCAAATAACTAGTAACAGAACAGATACTGGTACACCCATGTTCATAGCGCATTGTTCCCAATAGCCAAAAGGTGGAAACAACCCAAGTGTCCATCAATGGATGAATGGATAAACGAGATACAGTGTACGCATACGATGGAATACTATCCAGCAATAAAAAGGAAATTCTGACATATGCCACAACATGGATGAACCTTGAAGACATTGTACAAAGTGAAATATACCAATCACAAAAAGACAAATTCTGTAACATTCCATTTATATGAGGTATCTAGAGGAGTCAAATTCATAGAGAAGGAAGGTAGACCACTGGTTGCCATGGCCTGGCAGGAGGGGCAATGAAGGGTTAGTGTTTAATGAGCACAGAGTGAAAGTTTGAGAAGAGGAAAACAGTGCTAGTGGTGGCTGGCTGTGATGACTGCACAACACTGTGAATGTACTTTATGCCACCGAACTGTATGCTTAAAATGGTTAGAATGGTAAATTGGACGTGACGTATATTTTACCACAATGAAAAATAACTAGTAATAATAACTCCCATTTATTAACTACTATCTGCTAGGAACACATTAGTCACTTTATACACATTATTCAGATTTGTCTTCACAAGAGTCTTGTGAGATAATAATAATAGTTATTTCATTGAGCACGTAATATGTGCCAGACCTTGTTGTAAGCCCTTGATAAGTGCCAATTCATCCAATCCTCCCAACAGCGCTGTGAAGTAGATAGTAGTATTATCTCCATTTTGTAGCTGAAGATATTGAGGAGAGAAAAGTATATGTAACTTGCTGAGAGTAAGTGGTGGTGGAGACGGGATCAGAACCCAGGCAGTTTGGCTCATGAGTCTTTTTGCTTAACCGTGATTAAGCAAATGCTCTCTCAGGATAAATGACTTTCCCAAGTCCACCCAGCATGTAGGCAGCAGAACTGGGAATACGCCTCCAGTGGGCCTGAGTCAAAAATCATTGCGGTTGACCTCTCTGTGTAGAGAAAGGTGGGTCTACCTGGGGATACCCTGGTGGAAGGGAGTTCAGAATGAGGCCACAAGCATGTGTAGTAAAGGAGCTTGAACGTAGTGAGATTAAGAGCCTAATGTGAGCATCTTCTGCCTTAACAAAAGTATGATTTCTTGGGGCCGGCCCGGTGGCACAGCGGTTAAGTGTGCACGTTCCGCTTCAGTGGCCCCGGGTTTGCTGGTTCGGATCCTGGGTGCAGACATGGCACCGCTTGGCAAGCCATGCTGTGGTAGGCGTCCCACATATAAAGTAGAGGAAGATGGGCACGGATGTTAGCTCAGGGCCAGGCTTCCTCAGCAAAAAGAGGATTGGCAGATGTTAGCTCAGGGCTGATCTTCCTCAAAAAAAGAAAAAAAAAGTATGATTTCTAAACCCGGGGAAGTTTTTCCGTTTCCTGGGCAGACTATAGTTTGGAGACCTGAGCTCAGTTTTGAACTTCACATTTTAAAAAGATTACAAACAGGGGGCTAGCCCCATGGCCGTGTGGTTAAGTTCACACGCTCTGCTTCTGCAACCCAGGGTTTTGCCAGTTCAGATCCTGGATGCGGACATGGCACCGCTCATCAAGCCATGCTGAGGTGGCGTGCCACATAGCACGACCAGAAGGACCTACAACTAGAATATACAACCATGTCCTGGGGGACTTTGGGAAGAAGAAATTTTAAAAAAGAGAGAGAAGACTGGCAACAGATGTTAGCTCAGAGCCAAACTTAAAAAAAAAAAGATTAAAAGATTACAAACAAATCAAAAGATATCCTGGGGGGGACCAGGGCAGCTGGGAGACTGGAAACTGTGCTGAGCCAACACTTCTCAACACAGATGCATCCTCTTGGGGTCCTGGGTAACACACAGGCTTGTAGAAACTTGGGGGAGATTATTGATCCCTTAGTATCCTTTATGGTAGGGAGCCAAGTAATGTGGATCAAGCCTTTCACAATGATTTCTATGCCCCAATATGATGTCATCAGCTCTAGTCTCCTCCCAATTCCATGCCTGCCCATCACCATGACTGCTGGCATAACCAAAGGGACAGGAGTGAGGCAGAGTATGACGCTTTATCTTGTCCCAGGGGCCATGTTTTGTGGCCTTGCTCTCCCATCATGTACCCCACCATCGAATAAGCTGTGCCCAGACAATGAAAGTCCTAATCACCGAATTTTAACTAATGAGAAGAGGCAGTTTCTGCTCTTTACCTTCATCTAAATCTTCATTCAAGGGTCGCCAAACTGGCCCCACAGAATGATACTACCACACTTTGTAATGCTCTCTTTTATTCTTTAGCTGGACACAAAGAGAACAACAGTAAAATCATCATTTCGGCCCAAAGCCATTTGGCTTTGTGGAAAAAAATGTGAGATCCATAGTGGAGAATCAGGATGAAGGCAGAGTTAAGCGATTTCTGTCTGCTTAGTCTACTCCAGTTCTGTTTGATGAGCGTTAGGCTTCTGTAGCCTCCGGCTTCTACAGCCTTGGCTTGTTGCTATACCTCAACACAGGTCTGGGGAAAACTGGCAGAGAGGACTGAACTGTTTAAGCCTGAAGTAGAGACAATAGGGGGCAGAGCACCCCATATTATAGGGCTCATCTCTCCAAAAGTTTGTATAGTAGAATAAGAAGCTGACTTGGTCTGTGTGACTTAAGGAATAGAAGAGAGACCAGGTGATAGAAGTTTCTAAGAAGCAGTTTTAGTTCATGAATAAAAATTTTCTACCACTCAGAGCTGCTCAACAGTTAGATGGAACCACCTTCTGTGCAAATGAGCTTACCATCACTAGGAGTATTCAAGCAACAACCATATGATGGGGAAATTGTAGAAGGCAGTCAAGTAGAGGATGCAGTGTTGGACAAAGTCGCATCTAAGTTGATTACTGAGACTAGTTTTAAGGTTCTATTTCTCTCTTAAAGTCATCCCTATGGATGTGATTTATCTTCAGAGAAATGGAGGTTTTTCAAAACCTCCAGGAACAGTTTACTAAACTTTGTCACTGCCCAGCAGGGGCTGACGGGATTGTGCAGGATAGGCGTCCCAGTGAAGTGTCTGTCCTACATATCGGAGAAATGGAGAACAGGGTGTTTGTCATTTGGAATGACAAATCTTCCTTGTTTATCGTGTCTATATTCCTGCTCAAGCCTGACTGCATTTTTTTTTTCAAACCAAGAAAAGAAACATTTGCAGAACGTGACAATAGCTAGAATTTTAAAATCCAAAAGCTGTCAAAAATGTTTTGATCCCAATTAAAGAGACCCTTTGCAGCAATTTACACCTTGTCTTGAATTTCAAAGCGTTCTTGATTCCAATCCTTATATGAGTAAATTTTGTTTTATTATTTTATTATTAGCATGTTTCAGGGAATAAATCAATCCTGAAAGCTGTTCGTATTTTCAAATACCCAGGTATTGCTGATATGTCAAAGGGATCAGTGGAAATGCAGGAAATGTCATATGTAAACGCGTTATTGGTAATAGTGGGAGCAATAGCAAATTAGGGGTAGTAATGGTTTTATATCAGTATGTTACCAGATCTCCGGATCAGACCAGTGGACACCGAGGCAGGAGTGATGTCGTCTTCATTTCGCAGATAAGGGAACTAAGATTCTGGGAGTGTCCCTGACTTGGCTGTAGGCTCAGAATAGACCATCTAACTCAGAATCCTGTGTCTTTCCAAAGAAACTCATTGTCTCTCTTCTCTCCTCATTTGTAATTTTATTCCTTAGAATTGTTATAATTTTATGCCATAAAAAAATCATAAATATTTCAGGATCCTAAAGATACATCTGTTTTTCAGAAAGAGGGCAGTGGTTTGCATCAACTTTTCAAGATGATCCTACATCTTGCTGCCGCAATCACATGTAGATTTTGCTTCTTCATTTGGTTCAGCCAACACTGATCTGGCCCTACTGTATGCACCCTTCTAATTATATTACAACAGTTCCATGAAGTCAGTGCTGTTATTATCACCACTGTACAGATGAGAACACTGAGGTCCGAATACTGTAAGTCACACAGCTAATAAGTGGCATAGCTGAGATTCAAACCCGGGCAGTCTGGTCCAGTATC